GGCGTCAGCACTAATGTTTTTAAAGAGGAACAGCCATCCAATCATGACTAAGTAAAAACAGGAATTAGAGCTCCTGTGTTCAGCATCAGAAGATGATTTTAGTGAAGCTGTGTTTTTCTTGGCAACGCCTCCAGTTTCTCTCCAGTTAGACTGAGTATCTGATCATTACCTCATAAAACCTGGAAATCTGTGATGTGCTATATTCAGACTGGACAGTGATGTTGTTTCAGAGCCTCACTCAGCCATAACCAGCTCCACTCATTAAACACACAGGACCAGCTTTAAATCTGGAAACAGCTGCAGGTCCACGCGCTCGTTCTTCTCACTGTTTCTTTCACTCCGTCTGGGTTTGTCTGTGAGTCTCACTAACGCTTTATGAATATGAAACAAATACCTGGGGGGGGACTTTAGCTGTAGTGTAGTCGTAGATCAGTGACATGCGTTTGAGTCTCTTAGAGTTAGAGCACTGATTGCACTCTTATTTCATTAAGCACAACTCAAAGCACACACAGTATTCATACAAGGAGAGCAGTGAACACATACAGTAAAAACATTACGAGGAGGGGAAACGGTGACTGACTTCACAGTTCGGACGCATTTCTGGCTTCGATGGGTCGATTCGTGAGGCCGATCTGACCGACTTGCTTTGGTGTCTCTGATTGTTTTTGGTTTTCACAGGAATTCCAACCTAAAAGATTCAAATGGGATCAAATGTGCTTACGTGGTTTGGTCATGCTGATTTGATTGAAGTGTGTCAAATGTTTGCGCTGTAACGGGGGAGTCGTACACGGGCTTTGTACTTGCTGTAACTGTGTGTTGCTGTATATCTTCAAGGCTGGGTTGATTGTACCTGTTTGGCATGATCAATAAAAGCAGCTTGGCTGAACTCGGACTTTCTTTTGTTTCTCATCATTTTCAGATTTGATGGTGATATTTTTGACACTGATGTCCGTGACAGACAAACAGTGGTAGCTGGGATATCACAGCACAATCGAAATGATCGCCACTCTGTGTATTCAACTTGCAAAGCGACGTTGGTTCACCAGGGTTCAGTTCAGTCTGCTATCAGTTTGAACTGCATGCGATCTGTAGAGAAACTAGGATGAAATGTGCCGAGACTTTGTCACGGAACAAAAATGAGATGAGAAAATTCTGGAGAGACGAGATTCAATTGAATCGAATCAAGTCATGTAGGAAGGTGGGAGGAGTTTGGAAGTGATCCAATCAGAAGTAAGCTCCTTGTGTAGCAAAGTTTAGCACGCACACCATTCAGTCCCTTGGAAACAGAGGTGGAAGTACAACTAGCTCTCATGTTTCTCCTGAAAATGCATAAAAACTGTCGATGCCAAGGAGAAAGCAAAGAGTGGACACATGGACATATCTCGCAACTGATGTCAAAGAAAATAAGACACTTTGTAAAACGTGTAGAGCAACTCTCGGTAAAAACACAAACTTTTATGTATTTATATTTTAGTCGACTGAATCAACTTCAGATTTAGTATTCGATAATCTTCAGCTGAAAAAAATAGACTGACCCTAAAAGAGTTTAGGTGCTTAAATTATGACTAAAACTAAATCATAGTTTGGTGCAGGCAGAGATAAGCTGCTACCTACAAGGGAGAAAGCAGTCAAAGGTCCCCAGGGGCTGGGGTATGCATAAGCACTTACCTGCAGAAAGGATGAGCTGGGTTGCAAGGCAGCTTGCAGATGGACATCGAGTGCCACTATAGTCAATTAATATTTAGCTTAAAGTGAAAGTTAAATGTATGTGAGTCTATAATATTTTACAAAAAGAGGAGCGACCAACAAAAATAGTGCTGTCATTAAAAATACTGTGAGATGCATTTATTAACATAAAAATAATTTGACCTGAGTTTATTATTTGTGTCACAGCTGATTCAGACGTTAAAGATACACATTTTTAATTATGAATTATGTTTACAATGAAATGAAAATAGTATAAAATGTAAAAAGCAAAATACCGAATTAGGAATAAAATAGGAACAAATATAAAAAAGACACATATCCACAAATTAATATTATTTATCATGTACAAATGCTGTCAACAACAATTCAAGGCTCACACTTTTGTCTACCATCGCTGATTACAGTTACAATAAAGCCCCGCGACCACCAGGGGGCAGACTGACACTCTGCAGCCGTTTAAAGCTCTCAGTCACAAAGCAAGCTGCTGCTGCAGCTAGCGCGCTAACAGCTAAGACGGGAAAAACGCGAGCACTAAAACATCACACAGGTCAAAAATGACTCTTTCATGTTACACATTTTACTTTCATATCTGAACCTGTTATAACTTAATGCAAACTGGCAGAATGCAGGTTTGTACAGGGTGAAAACAGCGTGCTGAAAGAAATGCGTCCATCACAAGTCGCCGCCTTCCTACCCCTGAGGTATGACGGTGGGCCTCACACAGGTACAGCCGGCGGTGATCACCTCTGTCCCCAGTGTGAAGATGTACTGCTTCCTCGCCTTCCTCCCTTTCTTCTTAGACGGTTTGAGGACCCTGTGGTGATGCAGGAAAGAGTTGTAAATATATAACTGAAAGGTCACAGCCCCTCCGAGGGCGCTGTGTTTGAAGGGGCTTTATGTGGGGGAAATAAATGACATGAAGGCTCTCAGTTTAATTCAGTTACACGTGTTTTGCATTCAGTTTAATGCAGTGAAAGCAGCAGCTGCTGTGCTGACGCACTTACTTCTAACAAAGGCTGCGAGCCATGCAACGACTTTCTATCTTTGTTTCGTCTTGAATGTGGTTTATATGGGAAACAACAGTGAAAAACCATAACGTGCATCTGTATGTGTACTGTGGTTCTATAGACATGCCTTTGACCTGCTAACACATTACTGTACACAACCTCCACTGCGGTTTTTCAGCATGTTTGTGTTTTTAGCACAGATTGCCACAAAGGATGGCTCTGATTGGTTCTGCAGCATGACAACAGTGCCACACAGCCCCGGTGATATGGAGCTATATTTGATGACAGAAGCACAAACTGGGCCCTGATCACGACATTACAGATCAGGCTGAAGAATCCACGTC